ATCTTGTCCTTTGTAAATGACAAAAAACAATCCTCTTAAGCTGGTATTTTAATCATCTATTTTGATGCTCTCTTACGCCACTATGTTAAGGGTGATTAAGAGTAATTGGAGAGGTAACTCTAACTCAAGGCGGATGTTGTGAGATGAAGAGACCGCTGAGAGTATTGGTTGTTGTCTACTGCACCACAGAGTGATTATTATAATATGTCAATTAACACATCATATATTAGATATCAGTAGAATACACTCAATTATGTCGTGACACATTCTCTGTGCGGTTAGTGTTGCGCATGAGTTTTCTTGTAATATTGGTGTTATGTACGATTTTGATATTTTTTACAGTCTCAACTTTCGTGACGTGGAGTGCTTCTTTGTGGTTATTGTGTCCAGTGATATGTTAAAGATATTAAAATCACTCAATAGCGGCCACTCATACTATCTCTAAATGATATCACTAAAAGTAACCATAATAAGGTATGAATTGATGACATTGACTTATCCATGAAAGAAAAAATAATGTCTGCTCACCCCTGATTAATTGTCATATCTGAACTCTAGGTTACTTATATGGAAGTGAATGGGTAAGCGGGAAGTATATCCGCAGAGCAAGAGTGGTGACATTGACAGTGAGGTCTACGTGGCGTAGTATACACACGAGTGAATGATGCATATATTCTCATCTCGATACACTATTTGCTCATACCGCTGCTCTCTGCCGTAATGATAAGTATACTATATATATACGAGCTACTCGATTCGGCTAGATAGGCGCCTCTCGTGTATATCTATTGGAACCTCGACCACTGTGTTGGCGCAGGCGGCTCGGATGGTTGGACCATGGTAATAGTAAACTTAGAGAGAGAGGCAGAAAGGGAAGATTTTTTCTACTAAGTTTCGCGAGAGGCGATTGCTCTTAACATGCTCAAATGCTCATCATATATCCTTCTGCCATAAAGTGTGTAGTACCTCCATCGTATTTTCACTCACTCCTGTTATCTGATGTGTTTTCATAATGAAGAAGTGCATCAAATATACTCTCGACAGTAAATAGCTAGTTAGGTGTTTTATTTTACTGATTTCCCTTAGTCACGTGAATTGTGTGTTGTGTGGCTCAATTATAATATTACATTTTCATTCAGCGTAATACATGAACTCAAAAAGAGGCCCACATTGACAGATTAACGCGCGATATTAAGGGATAACAATCTGGAATTAAGATGCTTTTTATCAGATTTCCACATATCTAGATCTCAACTTCTGAAATATGATAATTCTGTTTTATATAAGCATACTATAAATACACTTATTCTTTAGTGTCTAAAAAAAATAAAAAGTAACTTTAGATAGAGTATTAACAAGTCATAGGATTGCACTTTCAATTGACCTAAACTTCTCCTAGAGATTGAACGCAAGACACCACTATGGTACTCCTACGGTGATATATTTGAATATGCTGGTGAAAAAATGCTCAACACATTCTCTCCATCGCTATTTTGTGTGCTATAAAGAGCTTTGTGTTTGACATATGCTACTTACTTTTTCAATACAAATCCACTTGGTAGTTGGATGAGTCAATGAGGTAAAATAGTGTTCTGACGCAGTAAAAATATTCATAAGATATGAGAACATTTTGTCATTTTAATTTTGATATAGTCATAAAAAGTATAAACTCAACTCCTAGTCCATTTTTAATATTTTTCAAATTTAGTAGATAGTACCTTTCAGCTCATTTTATATTCACAACACTATTATTAATATGTCTTGAGGACATACTGTAGTCTACGTCAAATAGAATATATCGCGTGTAAATATAAAATCCATCATATATTTGTGACTGTGTGCCATCATCCACCATGAGGTGCGATAATGGTGTGAGAGTAGTAATCAGGTAGGTCCGTAGTCATCACTTTTAATATTGACAATACAGAGACATGTTCTGTTAGCTGTGTTTCTGTATAGGAGATAGATTATTAACAAATAATATAGAGTCTAAAATCTCACGCTATTTGCTGCAAGAATAGTTATATTAAGGGTAATTTTAGCTCACAGCAGTTAAGAATCATCTGAAGTATGAATATTTTGATGTGTATAATTGCTCGCTATATATAAGTGCGGGTAACACGCAAGGAACAAGAACCGTTGGATGACTTTTATTGTAACTCCAGTTGTGTGAAGAGTAGTGATAATACAACATATATAATTCTATAAATAGTAGTAACATAAACTATTATGATAGAATGTGCTCGAAATGATTGTAATGTCATAAGTGAATCACATGTATTTATATAAAACCTTAGTATGCATTGAGATGGGAGAAATACATTAGTAATAATTCAGCATAAACCATGATAAGCATTCTTAGTGTATACTAACTAATATATTGGATTGTTTATATTTTACGCTTGGTGTATTTGTGAAGTTAAATGCCTACGTATCTCGTTTTTACTTTTGAATAGATTATAAACATGACCTATATATGTACTCAATAGGTGCTGGTGAAAGGTGAATTAGAATGTATGCCTCAATGGTTTCTTATATCAGTCAAGCATAGTTTCACAAGCAATTATCAAATTTTCATTTCTCATGATTTGCTCAGAATCAAAGGAATGTTTATCTTGAATTTATGCACCATTTAATGCGAGTCTGGAAAAAATCAAATCAGTTGATCACTTCATTTTTCCAGAATATTTTTTTTTTCAATTTATAATATAAAAAAAGAATTTACAAGTTTTTAACACATCGGGTAAAAACCGATTATCTGCTTATTTCTTCATTATCTTTCGCATATGTTTCCGTTTTATGTGCTGAGGCTGATATATGTAACAAGAGCATCGCTAGGCAGAGCATTGTATTCCCGAAAGTGTTGTTTTTCATATATCTTTTAGTAAGGATGAAGCATTTGTAAGACATGGGAATAAACTATTGCATCCTTCAAATAGCAATCCTCCTATAAAGTATATATATTGTGGGCCAAATGGAACTTAAGTAATGCTCTGGAAACTGTTTTCAGTTTTGAGGTAATAGCGACCTTGAACTTGCACCTTGTAACCCCAAAATCAATAGGGGTGTTTTACCCGATATGGACAATCATCCTATGATGTTTGAACATATTGGACCAAATGGTACTTAAGTTATGTTCTGGGAACTGTTTTCAGTTTTAAAGTAAAAGTGACATTGACCTTTGACCTTGTGACCGAGTCTTCTTCCTACTATGGACAATCACCCTATGAAGTTTGAATATTGTGGGCCTTATAGACCTTAAGTTATACTCCGCAAACTGTTTTTAATTTTAAAGTAATAGTGGCCTTAACCTTTGACATTGTGATCCAAAATCAATAGGGGCCTTCTTCCCAATATGGACAATCATCCTATGATGTTTGAACACTGTGGGCCAAATTGAATTTAAGTTATGCCCCGGAAACTGTTTTCAGTTTTAAGATAATAATGACCTTGTGGAAACTGTTTTCAGTTTTAAGGTAATAGTGACATTGACCTTTGACCTTTCGACCCTATAATCAATAGGGTCTTCTACCCAATATGGACAATCATACTACGAAGTTTGAACACTGTGGGCCAAATGGAACTTAAGTTATGCTCTGGAAACTGTTTTCAGTTTAAAGGTAAAAGTGAACTTGACCTTTGACCTTGTAACCCCAAAATTAATAGGGGTCTTCTACCCAATATGGATATTCATCCTATGAAGTTTGAACATTGTGGGCCAAATGACACTTAAGTTATGCTCCGGAAACTGTTTTCAGTTTTTAAATAATAGTGACCTTGACCTTTAACCTTGTGACCCAAAACCAATAGGCGTCTTCTACCCAATTACGGAGAATCATCCTATAAGGTTTAAAATTTGTGGGCCAAACGGAACTTCAGTTATGCCCCGGAGACCAAATTGCTAACGGACGGACGGACAGACGGACGGACGCCGGGGGTATAACATAATATGCCCGAAATTTGTTCGGGCAAAAAAAAACGTTCACATATCTAATGAACGAAAGGAGTTCAATAGTATTCCCTGCTGTAAGCAGAATCTACCAACCCGGCAAGTGCAGACCAAAATCAGCCAGCACGTCCGAACGACTATTCGATATTCAGTTATTATATCTGTTATTATTTTGCTTAAAAATATTAAATGGTCTTGAAGGAAAAATCTATTTAAGTTATAGCCTGGTATATGTTTAGCATAATTTGATGTTGATATAAAATTTTGATGTCAAGTAAATGCATTAAATTTACCAGGATTTCACATAAAATCGATCAATTTTGTCTTTCTGTGGAGGGTTAATAAATCTGTCTGACTGACTGTCTATCCGTCTGTAAGTAAGTCGCTAATTTAGCGTTTTTTCTTAAAGATGGACACTCGTGTCTGTTAGCCTGTCTTATTTTCATTTTACAAAAGCAAAATTTATCGAGGCTCAAGGTTTTTGTGTCTCAACACATGGTCGCATATTATCCCAACGACCTGTACGATTGCCAAACAGGTCACGTGACCTGGGTAGTTTGTATCTGACTTTAAAATCAAAAAAAAAATATTTATTTATGAAGCTTTAGATTGAAGCGTTAAATCATTTTCATGTCAATTGAAATGCGTTTCATTTATTGACAACCTGAATTCGTATACCCAAGGCCATTTTGTATAAAAGCTACACTTGATGATATCGGTATATAGGACATACATTTCTTTATGAGCTGACTACAAAAATCCAGAAAGCAAATAAAAAACGTGGTTTTCATTACAGCCATTGTATTCAATATAATTATTCTCGTCTCCTTTTAAATATTTTTTCCCCTTATAAGTCTCTTTTTACCATTTAATGTTTACAAAAGAAAAAAGAAATGAAACAGTACAGTTCGGTCTAATGCGTACTGTTTGCTTTATCCATATTTTTTTCGTTTCTTTTTGTGTTAGATTTTAAGTAAACAAAGATTTCGTGTTACGTGATCTTTATTGTTCTTTGAAAGCTTGCAACTTATACGTTCCTGCTTTTGTTACTTCAGAAACTGTTTCCCTGACAACATAGTAGAGTCTGCATTCAGAAAGGTAATTTTCATAAAATAAGTCGGTGAAGCAAAATAATTATTTCTTTTTTTAATAAGTAAATAAGTGTTTGCCTTTAACATATTATATCTTATGTCTTTCCTACTTTCTATTGATCAGCGTCGAAAATAAATATTTATTTTAACTTTATTACAACACTTGAGAATTAATTTTACATTTAAGCAAACGCTATACCCAACGTTTTTAGAGTACATAGTACTGTCTTACCGGACCAAGTTTGAATGGTAGCCAGAAAAAATGACAATTATTTTCTCTCCCTCTCTCTTGTTACACAACAAATGGCTCAGACTTGTAAATTAATATACGAAATAAAACTTGAGATTCGACGCATCGCTATGACATTTGTCATAAAAGGAAAAAAAAAAACAAACAAACACATAATTCTTTCTTACGTACGAGCGGAGTTCAATAAGTTCGTAAAGCACAGGGGTTAACTCACAGATTGGAAGATGGTTTCAACATTATTTTGTAATATCATCCCCTTTACGTCATTGCATGTGGCCCACTTTTCTTTTCAGCAATCTATGCCTTTAAAATGAAAGTCGTCTGGTTTGGTTCCCAGACCAAACCTCTGTAGCAGCCTAGCTTGAGATCATCACCGTCTCAAAATCTGGTTCCACGCAAGTGGGACTTAAAATTTCGAAACAGATATTAATCACTTTGGTTGGGGGAGGGCGGGTCAGATCTGGACTGTATGACGCGTGAACTTGCACTCATAAGTAGCCGCTCAGGCAACCCTGGACTTGTGCACAGGGACATTATCATACAAAAAAGGGCACAGTTGTCTTCCCCTTCGATTTCCTTTAAATGCAAGCCTTAATTGTTTGATAAGATTGGTATAGTATTCTCCTGTAATTGAAATACCAGCTAGCTTGTAATCTATCCATATAATCCCTTTGGAGTCCCAAAAATACCTTGGCCAATATCTTTGCCACTGAAGGGTGGTTTGGCATTGTAACTGCATGTTCAGGTTTCTGGATACCCACGTGGCAGATACATGTAACATGCCTAAATGCAAACACCTTCATTAGAAATACCATATTCTGAAGTAAGTTCGGCAACTTTAATCCGGCGATCAGCCATTCAGGAATGGATCTCTTTGGAAATATCTTTTCCATAGTGACGAACTTCATGACTGCCCTGAACTCAATATTCTGACTTTTTCATAAAATGTCTTAGCTACGTGTAGGTTTAAAAACAAAAAGTAAGAGAAAAAATGTATGTGTTGACTGCACGGCTGTTAACACTAAACAGAAAATTGTATAGAAAAATACCGAGTCCATTGAACTTATAGAACCCCCCTCGTATAGATCTTTTTACGACGCGGTCCGTTGCTATGAAAAAATCGACCGGATATAGTATTTTCTCGCACATGCGCAATCTGCGTAGGGCAAAAAGATCATCGCCCTACATAGAAATGTTCATACACAATTTCGCGTCAAAAGGAATGTTTTCACTTTCACGAGCATGCTATCACTTTCACGAGCATGCTAAATATATACACATATAATATAACCCTGTTAGTTACATCGTTTCTATTTGAATGTGTTTTCTATAAATGAACGTATTTTTATACTTACAGCAAACGACTATTGTTAATACATTTGATGTGACAGAAACAGATGGGAACACCAGTATGTATATTCTTATACACACGTATGATCAGACAGAAATTTTCATAATTATCTCCTCCATAGGATAAGAGATAATCTGCTAGCTGTTATTATAATATTTCAAAATCTCTCTTCAGTTATACAAAGTAGTTCAAAGAAATCGCTTAAAACGTGCATAATAATAATAATAATATAATAATAATAATATATTTTGATATTTTTACTTAGAAAGCTTTTCTGCGATCGGGATTACCATCGATATTGCATAATTATCTTGTTGACAATTTTGACAACTTTCTTTTTTGAATGAACAAGTCAGTACATAAAACCTCACTAAAGTTCAGTATTTACTGTTCACCTAAATTTCATAACATTTCTTTGTACTTATTGACCGTCTGAAGCCTCGATGCTTTAAGGCCGTCCCAACACTATCATCGGCACTGACTTTTTCTTTGTCTTAGGTCTGGCTAGGTCTCCTTGAATTTGATATCAAAACCTAACCTGCTGTTTTCTTCGTTTAATGAATTTTCCCTGCTTTGAATTAAGGACAGTCCATTCAAAGTTTAAGGGATTTCAATATCAAAATGCAAAACAAATAAACAAAGAGTCTGATTAGGGCTGACAAATGAGTCTCTGAACTTGTGGCAAAGTTTTGTCATTTCCAGTTCCGGCAGGTTAAAGGTAAAAAATTGCTTTTATTTACAAAATCAGTGCTCATAACTCCAGGCAGGAACAAAAATGACTTAAATGATGCCATAGGAATAAGGACATAATGATTATTTCATAAAATGTTTTCAAGAACTGCAATATTCTTTGAAAATATGACTGCAACTTTCATCAAGGCTATTATAAAATTAAGAATTTATTTCCTTGCACTTAAACAAACTGAAACAACCGACACCGTAAGCTTTATTCCTAAGAAGTCCCTTTTATAACTCTTTAAATCTAGTAAAAATTCCAAGACAGCGCACGGGAGTTAATACTTGCGTTGTTACATGCATATATTAGTATATGTCGTTCTGCTGATCGTTTTCGCGTAGATGAACTTGCTACATTTTATAGGAAAGAAAATCGAGTTTTCTTGAAAATATATATATACTATAGAGCTATATTGCAAAAACAAATATGTTTCTTTTTGTTTTCATCAGCAATTGTTGTCGATCAAGTCGACTCCCCCAAAGTCATTAAAGCAGAAGGGATGAACATTCTTGGCATCGTCGTGTTTTCCATATTTTTCGGAGTTATGTGCTCGAAGATGGGACCAGCCGGAAAACCACTCTTGGACTTCTTTGAGGCTCTTCATGTTGCGACCATGAAACTTACAATGTTGGTCATCTGGTAAGAAAACCAAATTTAATACATTTACTTAACACTATACCGGTATACTGATTTCCATGAGCCGCCATGTTGGTTTTTTGTAAATAATGACGTCATTAATGGGCTAAAATACAGTACTAAAATATAGAGGATATTTGTTTGTTTCAGTGTAAGATCGAACAAGGTTAGCTTTTAAAAAAGCTAGTAGCGACTCGCTTCGTACTTTTTTTCAAGGGGTGTGTTTAAATGTAAAAATGACAGTTCTGTTAGCTGAAGAGACTTCAGCGAACATCAAAATAAAAGTGAAGTCAACACTGGCCCGGTGCCCGATGGCCAGTGTATATAAGTTCAGACCAGTGTAAATTTAAGAAAATTTTGTTAATTATTTAGTAGAATAAATTCAAAACTGGAATTCGGGCCAGTAAATTCAAAATCTTAAACTCATTGACTGAAAGTGACATATAAAGTTCCTTCAGTTTAACCAAGATGAGTATAAGTATATATGAAGGTGCATGTAAACAGATTGAATGAAGAACCTATGTCTATGCACATTTACTATATGGCCTGTTGACCTTGACCACAAAATGTTAGATAGGTTGATTTCATAAAGATGTCTCTTTATACAAAATTAAGTTGTAATACATGTATGTTATTTAGTATTGGAATGAGAGGCACAAGTCCTAAAGTAAACACAAGTTGTCAATCAATTCAGCCAGAAAAGCCGGGATCCTATTAAAAAATATAGGGATCCCGGAAATTGACCAGTCTAAGAAGATGTTTTTCAGATAAGCCGGGATCCTATTAAAACATACAGGGATCCCGGAAATTGACCAGTTCAAGAATATAGTTTTCAGAAAAGCCAGGATCGTATTAAAATGTAAATATTCTTTGATTTTTCCAATTAATTAGGCATATAATTATAAGTATTGTGATTTCCGCATTTTAAGTTTGTTAATAAATAGCTCTAAATATATCTATAGCATAAGTTAAATTAATTTAACGTTCATTATATACAATAAAAAATTAACGTTTAATGGCCTTTCATTACGACAACAATCAACACAAATATAGTTCATTAGGTTTTTCCTCCATATCTTATACGATCCCGGATCCCGGGCGTCCCGGATCCCGGCCAGTAGATACATACACTAAATACCGGAAAGGATAAAATGACCGGAAAAAAAGGAAAAATAAAAAATGCATAGAACCAGATGTACACTTATGTTAATTAACCAAACGAAAACTTACTACAGAGAAAACAGGTGAAATCGCTAAATCAGAATTCAGTGTAAATATGATTTATTGAAAAGAATTCATAAAGACAAACATTTTTATCATCATTATATCTTTGCGCTCAAAACAATACTTGCTGATTTTTAAAAATGGCGTGAAAATTGGAGGTTTTTTGACGCTATGTAAGATAAAATTTGATTGGCTAAATAATTTTGGATCCTAGCCCCGATAGATAAATTTTGTAGAAAGCTGGAAGCCAAGCTTCGATTAAATTTTTGGATAGCTTCGGAGTTTTAGGTTGTTTCTCAGTAAAATCCTACCGTAATACCGGCTCGCCGTGGCGAGCCGGCAAAATATTTCACCGAGTGAACACCAGATGCAATATTTTCCACGAGTGGCGTAGCCACGAGTGAAAATATAATAGCTGGGGTTCACGAGTGAAATATTATTTGATCTTACATGTAAAACAAACAAATTTTCTGTTTATTTCATGATTTTTTAACGATTTTTACACCATTTTACTGATTATTGCCGCGTAACGTCATGCTCTTATCTTCATGACGTCATCAAATAATGACGTCACAATGTTGAAGCAAAATATAATTCCATGATTATTTTTAGATTTTAGATGTTTTTCAGCACAACGTTCGTAAATATTTACGAACTACAGTTATCACGTACATTTTTTATTATGATTGACTACATTTCCGCTGAAAAAAACAGTCATTAATGATAAATATTTTATTTTTACGCCAAATATAGTTCGGCTACTGTGAAATTATATTTGGTAATCATTACTGTGAAATTATCAGAATATAATTAACCGTTATAATTCAGTAATCTACTGCAAAACATGTAATAAAGTATCATAAAAACTAGCTTAACGAAAATAGGCGAGAGCGGGATAGGTTGTGTTATGTCTGCGTTTTTTATCCTGGCCGCCGGGACGAACCCATATAGGCCAGAGTATCTGCGCACTTGCTGGCCCGGTCGGAGGACCGTAAACAGCTGCGACTCACTTTATGGATCTTCCTAAGATTGTTTTTTATACGGTGGCAGTAAGTGGAGACAACGATACTCTAATATTACCGACACCCTCCCGTGTTAGCCACGACAGGTCAACCAATCATCTCTAGTCATTAAGATGACTTGACCTTGACCTGCCGTGTGCCTTGTCTGTGACGTGCAGGCCTTTTGAGGGATTTGGGAGCAGATCGGGTTTATTATAATAATAAATGACGACATACGGTAGACTATATTTACCGATTCGTCATATAATCACTACGGTATACCGTATCCTGGACATTGCCCGGATGTCGTCGTTGTGCGATTCTTTTAGTCATCCTATCATCGTGCAATGTGCAATCATCGCTAATGATATATATAATCACTTGTATTGGTTCTTCACTGTTGAAGTCCACGACTCCTCAGCTATGACATTTTTTTCTTATTCTACAGTTACCAAAACAATAAATATATACAAATTATGTAAAATGGTATAGATTTAAGACGTTGTAATAAGAAACAAGTGAATCGCTAAATTACTTTGTAACACAAAACATTTGTAAAACTTCAATCAATACGTAGATACACTTTCTTATAGATGTGTGTTAATATTCATGCCGCCCGACCCAGTGAACGTGTGCAATGTAGTTGTAAATATTTGTTTAGAATAAGAATGATCTGATTGATTATCGATTTCCTATAAAATTGTGGTTGATCTTGTTTACTCTTTGGCCTTCTCTTGTTCTGATTGTATTGAGATTGTATTCAGGTTACTTCCTGTTTGTTTTTGTTTTTTTAGTTATTTATTTTTATTTGGGGGAGGAGGGTTCTTTTGTGTTTTTGTTGTTGTCTGGTGTTTTTTTGCTTTGTATTTATCTTTATTTATTTTTTTCTTATACTGAAATTTTCGGGAATTTTTGTGATGGCAACGTTTGTTGTTTGTCGTTTTGTCATCATCCACAATGTCTTTAAACAACATCTTTTTAAACCACAAATCATCCTGCAGGCCAGTGGTTACCTCCCCTTATCAGTACAGTGTGACATAATCGTTGCGAGGAGTTTGTCACTTTCTACTAAATTACAAAAATGTTTCCAGTCAAGATCACAGACGCTATTTAAAAATTAAATCTTGTAAACAATTTTCTTTAGAAACCAAAATCAAGTGTTAGGTATCAAGTATACTTGGAACGATCTTTTGGTTTTCTACAAAAGTTATGCCTATTGGATCAAATTTGGCCCGCCCTGGGGTCACTTAGTGTACATAGACTTTTAGGAAAATAAACTTTAAAAATCTTCTTAGAAGCTACAGTTTATAGAGCTTGAGGTCCTTTACAAAATTGATGTTAATCATGCCAGTTGGGTCAAAATTGGCCTTGCCCTTGGGTCACTTAGTTTACAAATGAACGTATGTATTTTTTATTCTGTAAAAAATTAACAATGCCCAAGCTTTTTAACTTGCAAATTTCCTAATGGACAAAACAATACAAATTATTTATAATGCCTTAATCAACATAATGCATTTGAATTCCCGTAGTATTCCTAATTTTCAATAATATTGTGATTAACCATAGGTCAAATCACTGATATAATTTTGGACTTTTTCACTATTCGGTCAGTTTATATTTTGAAATTTTCTCTAAAATGATGAATGGTTTTGTCCACATTAAAAGACGGACAAGTCTATTTAGCATGCTAAGGTTTAATCATAATTTATTGTACATGTATTCTTCAACGATAACCATCCATGTTTTTTGCTAACGTTTTCAGAAATTCTTTGTTTCGTATAATCTAGTTTGTTGTCATCATTTTCGTCATTTTTTCTAAGGTATTCGCCTATCGGAATCATCTTCCTTGTGGCCACAAAGCTGATTGAGATGGAGGACCCAAGTGTCGTGTTTATACAGCTAGGATACTACATGCTTACTGTTCTTGCTGGACTCGCTGTCCATGGTTTTATAGTTCTCCCACTCGTCTATTTCGTAGCTGCTCGCAGAAATCCATTTGTGTTTATGTATAACATGCTGAAAGCGTTGCTCACTGCATGGGGAACGGCATCCAGGTATTTTTTATGGGTTTTACTTTATGGGTTTAAGTCGCACCCACCGACACAATATAGGTATTATGGCGGCCCTTCTGTTTTACTAGTTGAGGAAGACCTCAGGTGGGTACCCTTCTGTACCTGATTTCAGGCACAAACGGACACCTGAGTAGAAACCGACCTTAACGTTTTCGAAGCCCCAGCTGGATTAGCTTTTTCCTTTCCAACCCTAAAGGAAATGGCTTTAACTGCTCGGAATACGGTTTGGTGAGTTTTTTTTTTTGGGGGGGGAGTGGTTTTTTAAAGTCAAAATTGACTTAAGACGCACTCCCGGGAAAATAACGCGTCGCCTGTGTGCCTTTTCTTTTTAAAAAGATTTTGTTACCTTTCCGTTTTGTTTTTTTTCAAGTTAATAAAATTTTGAAATAAAACAATTTTTTTCCAATTTTTTTTGTATGTCTTTATAGACCCCGTTTCTGTTTTGGAACCCCCCCACAAAGTGGAAAAACCAAACTTTTGGGGGCCCCCCCCCGTTGTTTTTTCCTATTTCACAGTAGTTGTTTTTTCCTTATTACAATTAATATTTTTATCTTTTGTTCATATCAGTTCAGCTACATTACCCGTCACTATGGAATGCTTGGAGCACCGCAACAAGATCGACATCCGGGTTGCCAAGTTTGTTGCTCCGATTGGTGCCACTGTAAATATGGACGGCACGGCACTGTATGAGGCAGTGGCGGCTATCTTTATTGCCCAGGTCAATGGTATAACCCTTAATGTTGGCGAAGTGATAACAATTAGGTAAGATTTATTTTATTATATTTCATTTTATTACTCGAATGTTATCTCTGAATAGGACAAGCAAACAAATCAAGCTTATTAGATTATACATTATGAGGAGGGATTTATTTTAACAGCTGTTTATATATGATATGATATGATATGATATCGAATAATATATGATATGGTTAGTTTAAGAAATTGTATCATTTTTTATAACTTAATATTTTATCCACTTGTCTCTCTTTTCCCGAGCCATTTTAGCTTTTCGTTCTGTATTCCCTGTCTTTAAAACTTTTTTTTCTCTTTTCCCCGTCTTGGTAACCACTGAATTGCTAGATTTTATATGAAATAATAATACATAATAATAATAATAATAATAATAATAATAATAATAATAATAATAATAATAATATATTGTTAAACCCCACTGCTTATATATGATAATAGATGGTGATGACAAAATAAGAAACCTTAGCCGCAAACAGAGAACAGTCTTTTGGTCAGACTGCACAGATACATTTTAGATTTCTTAGCTGGCCTGGCTCTCTCTATGCTAGTGGAACAAGAAGAGCATTATCGTCGTCCGCAATAAGAAGTTTCAAAGTATTATGTGTGTATTTAAAACGTCATTTGTAAATTACAGCCTGACAGCCACTGCAGCAGCCATTGGGGCAGCAGGTATTCCTTCTGCTGGACTCGTTACCATGGCAATAGTGTTGACTGCTGTTGGTTTACCAATTGATGACATCAGACTTATCTACGCAATAGATTGGTTCTTGTAAGTAATTTGTGAACTTTTCTTTGTTATGTTAAAACAATTCATTTAGTCGTGCTTAACCTACTTAAACTATTTCCCAACTTTACATGAATCATAGCAGCCTACATATCCCGGCAGCGCTTAATTTTTATATGCTGATTTTGAAATCCCTTAAATCAAAATGGATTGCTCTTATTCAAAAGTAGGGCGAATCCATTACACAAATTCGGCAAGTTTACGGTTTGAATGATAATTTCTTCTATTAATAGTTTAAACATGACATCAATGGCTTATTATAGTCTATATGTAGAAGTTCATGTAAATTTAGAGATTCTATTTTTAGTTTATATTAAACGTTTGTCATACTTTACTCTAGGGATCGGTTCAGAACAGCTATCAATGTGCTGGGTGATTCATATGGTGCTGGAATTGTGGAGAAACTTTCGCAGGCAGATTTAGCGAGATTTGACCAGGAACATGGCTTGGATGCTGACAACGAAATTTCAGTTGAAGAAACTATTCCAGAAATGGAAAAGGAAAACGGAGGGATCAACAATCCTACATTTACAAAATTTTGAGTACATTTTTCATGCTTATAAAGATGTGCGTGTCTTGTAGTGCTATCAGATGGGACAACAATGAACTTGAGGCATTTCTAAAGGTTAATGCGGTAGTAAAAGATATTGCTACGCGCGTAATCTATATATATATTATTGATTTGTATTTCAATAAGTGTATAATGTATTTTGCAAATAACAAAATCATACCCCCGAAAAAAAATCCCCAACAATGACAAAAAAAAAAAACATTACTAAAAAAACCAACAAAATATTAATAAATATTTGATATGATATATGAATAATATCAAATTTTGTGTATATACATGTTCTTTTGTGAATCGTATACATGTAAATTACTTTAACATTAATACATTTTTTTTAAAACATTTAAATGTATTAACTTAACATAATTTTGCGTTCTTCTTCTTATTTTGTCTTATTTTTATATCAAATAATGAAACATACAATAAGACAAGGCAAGCCCTATCTGTTGCTAGACGATATGAGATAGCGTTGAACAACTCCTCTGTAAAAATAAACCTTATAAATTAAGCACACACAGTTTTAACCTTAAGTTTAATGATTTATCTTATCATAAACTTTTTTTACTGACATAAAAAGATTAGATTGAAACGATTTGTTTTGTCATTCATGAAGTTTAATCTAAATCGCATCAAGCGTTTTTACGTCTTGTGAATGAACAAACGTTCAATAACTTGCGCGAGGTAGTTAACATGGTTATAATCTGGTGCCGATCTATGCCTGAAAAATGCTGTCTTTGTGACCGAAAACCCAACCAAAATAAATAGATAAACAAATACACATTGAATCAGGGACTGATAAAAAAAAATCAAAATTCAATTTGTAACTCTGTTATTATTAACTTTAATGGTTCCTTTGACCTGAAAAAGTATCTTCATTTTTTTTTAATGATAAGAAAACAAACTTCGTTGCACAGTAAATTGCAAGTAATGATGTTTATTTCTTTTCTAAATTGAAAACTGGACGCTGATGCATTCTTTACTGATGTTGTTGAAAATTTGATTAAAATTTTCGGTCAAAAAGTCAATGGTGGACAGTCTACTGGTGACAATAAGCGATTTATCAAATTCTGTACCAGTCAATGTAAAAGTGAATTGCCCCTGGGCCCCGCACCCTTTTTACGGTTCAATTTTGTTTTAAATGTGTTTTCTTCATGGCTCACGCTATTTTTGTGATAATCAATGTATTGAATTAGATTAAAATTTCATATATTTAGAGGCTTTATTTCATACCACATTATTTTCGTAACAACTTTATTTTGATTTTACATTATCAATGATTGCTACATTGTTTTATATATATATTTTGTTACAAAACAATACTTGTATTCTGTCTTGGGTACATTGTGATGTAAATAAATATTATGTTACATATATTAAATATGCACCATATACAGATCTTTTCTGTTTTATTTCTGATTTACGTGAAAAGCCATAAACACTGTATTTAGTTTCAAATGTATTGTTCTCCTAACTTTAACTGCGTTTCAATAATATACAATGTTTTTTTCCAAAGTGCTTTTCTTTGTTACATAAATATGGTAATTATTTCGTTTCGTCTACATGTTTATCTTTTAAACTATCTTCTTTTGTATTGTGTCAGTACACTAGTAATTTTACATTTTTTGTACAAGTTTGACACTAATTTCATACCGAAGACGTTTAGAAAATACTATTGAAATAATAATAAAAAAAACACATGTTAACACTGGGTAATTATATGGGTAATTATATAATCAGATTTTAAAGTCTACAACCCATGAAAGAATTCAAAGTGCGAAATGTAGTATGAAAACTTTCTGGTTTCAAAACCGATCGCGACCCTTACCGCTCTGAGGATCATTAAAACTTTTTTTTAATTTAATCAACTTTAATATAACACTAAATGATTATATGTACTAGTACTCTTAATTATTTTGTATTGATTTTGTCCTGCAGACATTTTTAATGATTGACATTGAAAAGTACAAATTCTGTTATGAATATGCCCTGTTTTGATTTTTTTTTACATTTGCCATTGTTCGTTAACCTGCAGTTATTTTTAACGATACATATTTTGTAACGAATATGCCCTGTTTTGAATTTTGTACACTTGCCGTTGTTTATTGTCCTGCAGTTATTTTAACGATTCATATTTTATAACAAATATGCCCAGACACTTGCCATTGTTCGTTGTCCCACAGTTATTTTAACGATATATATTTTGTAACGAATATGCCCTGACATTTGCTATTGTTCGTTGTCGTTAAGTTATTTTTTAATATGCCCTGACACTTGCCATTGTTCTTTGGTCTGCAGTCATTTTTAACGATTTATATTTTGTAACGAATATGCAATGTTTTGAATGTTGTTCACTTGCCACTGCTCGTTACGATACATATTCTATAACGAATATGCCCTGACACTTGCCATTGTTCGTTGACCTGCAGTCATTTTTAACGATACATATTTTGTAACGAATATGCCCTGACACTTGCCATTGTTCTTTGACCTGCAGTCATTTTTAACGATACATATTTTGTAACGAATATGCCCTGACACTTGCCATTGTTCTTTGACCTGCAGTCATTTTTAACGATACATACATGTATTTTGTAACGCACATGCCCTGTTTCGAAGTTTTTACAATTGCCATTGTCATATTTGATGAAAAAGTCTTGATAATCTGCCGCTGAAAGTGCTAAATTAATGATATACTGTATATGACTCAGTGTTTGAAATGGGTATGACCCTGTTATACCGTGATGTACCCTTAAAATTAAAACATGTTTTTTTTATATGAAAACACACAGTCACACCCGAAATGAAAATTCTTCTTTTAGTTAAATGAAATTTAAAGCAATTTTTTTATTTGCATACAATGTTGATTCAAAACCGACAGTCAGACATCTTTCAATACGGAATAGGTTAAGTTCTTCATATGTAAACAGCTCAAATCTTTACATAGGCTACAGTAAACTTGCAATGCATTCAAACATATAGCTTCGTGACGAATTTTCAATCTCTGTACAAAATCTGTCCGTTTGTCAACGTCAAATAAACTAAATGGACTTTTGATTTTTTGTCAACTTCATCAGGGCACGACGTACCGGGAAGTTTTGATGAAGATAATTCAAACGTGAAAACAGACGGACATAAATTAACCTGGGGATTTATTTTGTGTACCTAATTTATCAACTCATTGTTGACGGTATCTCTTACACTTGTAGGTGAGTTTTATTTATTTATTATTGAACAAAAAAAATGGTGTTACGAAATTTATATATTACTAATCCAGGATTTATTAATTTCTATGACGCGTGCGCATCTATTAAAATTCAAGAAATTATACGTTCTTTGTTTATAGCTCACGGTTGTGAATATTAATCATAGGTACGGGGAATTCACCTACGCATAATGTATGTAAAAAACGTCGCGTAAAATCACGCGTGCATATCTGTGTAACGACGGAGAACGTGCATTACAAGGTCAAAGGTCAATATGCGGAAAGATAAACAATGAAACAAAAATGTAAATCTCGTTTTTAATCGATTTTTAATGATAGATTTAGTTTAGTTCACCATTTTATTGGAAGTTTTTAATGGAGAATATATATGCTCTTTCACGCTGTTAAGTTAAAAATGTCAACAAGACATAAGATTATTCATGAATAATAAAATACATGAATTTACGGGAAACTGCGAAAATGGTACACTAATTTAAATAACATCATATGATAAATGTATAAAATATATAAAATTACATTGCGTAAAATATATAGCATTAAATCCTGATAAATTGTAAATCGAGAATATATGTTATTTTTAAAATTACAATAAACGAGGGAGTAATTAATTCATTTCAAGCAAGGATTGTATTTTTCACCTACCTTCGTGATTAATACGACACAAGAAGGCTGGGCAGAAGTGTACTTTATATAAAGCTAAAAGCCGGATCTCCAAGAATAAGTTTGTTTACATTCAGGCGATGTACGTTCATGTATATATATGTCAAAAGTGGGGATTTTGTTATAATTATTTTCCAATATAAATACAAGGAACATCCGTATCTATTCAAATAAAGTCATGGAACGTCATTTAATTGAATTTATTCAAATAGTGGTATAGACGCATACCAAATCTTCATCTAGATAAGCTGTCGTGCGTGTTTAGAATTAAAACTTTTAATCGCCTATCAAATAATTTTCCTTACTTAACGTCTGGATAAAAAAAAGAAATCACAATTTTGTATATGAATGATTTCAAGTGTTAATGACAATCATTTTGATATATTTCGATTTTTAGATTTCGGTCGATGAAATTTGAAGTATACAAAAACAAAGGTGGTAATATTTATTTTTCTTTTTTTCAAAGGATAGTTCAAAATTTTCACAACGCAAGGGATAGTTCTAAACTTGTCGCTGTTTCGTCTTCAGTGTGTATACTGCTCGGTTAAAGTATTTTTTTCGGATAAAAAGTGAAAAAACTGAAACTCAGTAACAATGGTAACCGTAACGAAGGACGGTGTTACTCGGAACATACCAATGACCACGAGTCAGAAGATACTGCACCATATCAAGGCGAATCTCATCATTATATTAATGGTGATCGCCTTGGCGATTGGCGTCATCGCTGGGCTGACGGTACGGACGGCGGACGGTTGGGAATACTGGCAGAAAAGGAAGATATTCTACCTGAGATTTCCGGGAGATTTATTGATGAACATGTTGAAGATGTTGATATTACCTCTAATCATTTCCAGTATCATATCATCCCTAGCATCTCTCAATGCTAAAGCATCCGGTAAGATATAGATTTGTTTTGTTGTCCTTTCTTTACACGTGATTTCCACATTAAACAGTGCCACTAACCCTTTTATACCCAAACATGTACAATGAACTTGACCTTTTGTGGAAATGGAACGGATGACTGTTAAGTTGACTGGTTTCAATATTTGTTAAAAAAACAATAATCTGTTAAGAAATAATGACGATGATGATGATGATGATAATAATAACAACAACAATCCTAATAATCAAAACAGAAAACGAATGATGTAATCAGACTGCATTGGTTAGCTGTCTTTAATGGCCTTTTACTAGTGGTATACGGCTGATGCTATAGCCCGCCACTCGCACTCTCAGTGTTTTGACAGGATAATATGAACGGAGAAAAATGACCGGTAAATATTTTGGCTTAAAACATCTAAAATATACATACATTTATCTCCATGACAACATGACACAAAGCATCTGGTCCTTCTTATATAATATATGTATATGTATTTTTGGGGTATTATGTATTTTTATCTTGTTTTTTTATTTATTTTATTTACATAACATAGAAATGCCAAAGCAAGATACTTGAACGCGCTATTTATGAGTTCTCTAGAAGTGCTGTGGTGAAAATATAATTTATAGAATCTTGTAAAGTAAAGTGAATTGAGTTGTTTATATTCACAAACGTTTTGTATCTCACACAGTCTACAAAAACACTTTGCCCGACGACAAAATAGGCAATAATCTACACAAAATATTAGGGTATCTGGCCATAATGTAAACAAGAAGTTCTTACATTCTTTTCCATTTCATCATCGTGAACACATATTTCATCATCGGTCCTTGAAATCTCGTCATATTTCTAATCTCGTCACCTGTTTATTCGTACCCATTTCACTAACATGGGCACGACATTGCCCTCAATATTATCTTATCTTTCATTACTTACAACTAGTATTTGATTGGATAAAATCCACGTTATAAATCTTGAGTTCTGTTTGACATGGACTGGTTATCACTTTGTATATTTGTGAAAACTGCACTTAGAAAACTATAATATCACCTATATCAACTTTAAAGGTTAAGGGCCTATTTGCAAACAGCACTATGTACAATAAGGCCGTGTGACTGCTATCTTAGAAAACTTAGTGACTATGAAATGAGGAAGTTCTCGTAACCTTTTATGTTATCAACAAATGGACATTCTTCAAATCTTATTTACGTAAAATGACGCTTATCCATTTACATTAATCCTTTATCAAATATTTTCCACAAACCCTACAATTGGGCCGTCCTTTGAAGAAGAAAAAAAATCAGAGGGAGAATCAGGTCTTTCATTCACAAGTTTTTAGATATCAGTTAACTTTCCATGTAGGCTTTCGAAACAGACCAAAAAAATAAACATGCTCTTTAATTATCTTGAACAACGTAATTTATTTTAGTATAAATCAGAACTTTACTTAATTAATCAAAAAAGAATAAATTTTTACTTCTTTAGAAAGGGCATGCATGAGTTTGATAACATTTAGATAATGGTTTTAGAGCATGTTAGATGCTAACCATCTGATGAATGAGGAAATGAATGTGAAATAAATGGTCAAAAGGGTAGCGAAATGTATGAAGTAGTATGTTAACTTCCATACAAAATATCTGTACTTATTGCCAAAAGGCAACAGAAGCAAACGATAGTTCACGTATATGGCCAATGAGTAACTTTTTAGAAAAAAAAATAATAGGGCACCAAAAATAAAAGCTTTTGAGAAATGAAAATAATAGCATATCTGGTGTAGAATGGGCCTTTAACAAGTACGTATGTATATTTAGCTAACAATTCGGATTTCTTTTTTTAGTTTACTTACCGCTTCTTTATAATACATATCCATCTTTTGATACATTTAGTTTTTCAACAAGTGCTCGTTTTATTGTTGTTATTGCTTTTTTATGTAAGATAAAGTTAGATATTTTTAAATTTTAGGTAAAATGGGCCTTCGAGCGGTTGTGTATTACTTGACAACGACGTTTGCTGCCGTCATCATGGGTATAATCCTCGTCCTTGCCATTGAGCCCGGCAAGAAGGGCGGTGAAATAACTAGATCAGGCAGTTCCAAGGAACAGGAACCCCTGGAAGCACTTTTTGATCTTATCAGGTATTAAAAACCAGTCATATATTTTAAGTAAGTGTTTCATAAAATGAGACGGATAGAAATTGTTTGTGTAAAACGCACGAGAATTAAGCTGATATAAATTACATGATATTGCAAAATGTTTTTCATAAAAAAGAAGTCTGTAATAAAAAAACTGCATGCCTCCAGGTGAGCCGCAATTTTTCAAGAAAATTATACCTGAGAAAAATGTACTAAGTTTCTTCAGAAATTGTATGTATACCATATAATTATTTTGTGTCGTTTGTTTTATGATTTTACACTAACATATATGATATGACAAGAAACTGATTCCCACTTTTTCTCTTCAGGAACTGTTTCCCAGACAACCTCGTGGAATCAGCTTTCCGAAGGGTGAGTAAAGTCGTTAATTCAATACCTAATCATTATACAATGTTTTATAGATATATTTTTATTATAATTATTATTTATCCTTCAGTTTATATCCTTTTACATAAAGAACCTAGATTTGAATGCAGTAAAACTGTAACAATAGTGCAATGATTATTGTATCCCCAGTTTTCCTTTTGAACAGTAACCTTCCGTTTCAATTTTCTTGTTGTTCTAACCTGAATTTTTTCCAGTACTTTTTGTATTACAGTATAATTATATATCTCTTATCTATTCTAGAATCTGTGATAATTTCTTTTAAACTATTTTATCATTTCCAGCAAACAACAGTAACGGGTACTTTCAAATATCAACTTCCAATTACACTTGATGATGAGAACAAGACGGAAGGTAATTGCAATGCATTTTCAACATTTTGTAATTGTCACGAATGCTTTGACATTTGTAATTGTAATGCATTTTCAACATTATGTAATTGTCACGAATGCTTTTGTAATTGTAATGAGTTGTTTGTACTTGTAATTGTACTCCATTATTTACACTTTGTAATTGTAAGGTGTATTTGAAATTTGTTATTGTAATACTCATTTTCTATTTGTAATTGTAATGTGTCTTTTACAACTCTAATTGTGATGCACACAATCACAGTTGAGATTCTTGTTTGTAATGGTAATACATGTGAATGTATTCATTATTTGTAACAGATTTTAGTAATTAATATTTGTAGTTGTAAACTGTCATTTGAATGCTTATCATATTAAGAAAATGTGTTTCTTGCATATTTGTCATTACAAAGCAACATATTAAAGAAAGTATTCAAATTTACAATCTTGATTTAAACATGACATAGTCGGACTATTTTTTTTTTCATGTCAACCACTATAATTGCGCAAACTAAGAGCACATTTAGATATGTACTTAAAAATACAAATGACAGAAAAGATATGCGAGCAAATAAATCTTTTTCGTGATTTAATTTTAAATAAGCGAAAGGGTATCCGATTTCAGATTTCTATGGTACTAGGTACCGCATTATAAAGGCGAATTTATGATTGAACTTTTTTGTTCGCATGTGAAAAGAACTATAAAGAGCTTTTATATTCAATGTCAAAGATAAAATATAAATCTTCGCATGTAAATTTTTCAAGTATGAAATTATTTTGCGTTCTATCCGAACGAACTACACTTGAAAAAAACACTAAGTACATGATTTGAGGTGTTTTTTTAAATGGTTCAAACTAGTTAATACAAATTTCCCCTTGTCAGATTCGTATACGCAGTGACGTCATCACTAATTAATGTTTATAGCTAATTCATTCAGATGTTTAATAATTTCTATATATATAAATGTTTGATATGTTAAGATATAATTTATAACTAAAAATAACTTTTTTTTATTTGGTTCACTAGTGATGGGTAACTATACGAGTGAGTCGCCTAATGTAGAGAAGAGTGAGGGGATGAATATACTCGGTATTGTCGTGTTCTCGGTGTTCCTCGGTGCCGTCATCGCCTCCATGGGGCATGCCGGGAAACCCCTTCTTGATTTCTTTGAAGCCCTCCATGTCGCAACCATGAAACTAACTATGCTTGTTATCTGGTAAATATGAATAAATCAAATTTTATCCTTAAATATTTACAACATCTTTGTACAATATGAAACATTCAAGGTATGACACCCATTTATGCCTTCAATGGAAGGGGACACCTTTGACGTTTTTCCTTTATAAAAAGGGTAATTTAAGGTACTAGTAAATTTGGATTCTCCTGACATATAGTATTTCATATGATACGAAAAGTGGCGAAGTGTGCCGGATTTTCACGAAGTTATGGATCTGGTACTCTTTTATATTTTCTTTAACATTCAAAGGTGATGAAAAGTAGAAGCACGCAAGGACCATTCTACTAGTAATGGGTGTTGTACCTTAAGAGGAGTGGTGAAAAGTGTCTTTTATGAAAACAATATTATACAGTGAGGTGAACATGCACTAAAACTTTCCTTTAATGATATGTACCTAAAATTACAGCAATAAAATTTGATAGATATTAAATTTGACACTGTGTTTTCCTATATATAATCTATGTATGCGGTAAGTTTACCTTGAAATGCAAACATTTTGATTTATGCACACAAAAAAGGACCGCAAATTATTTGCTTTAAGCACTGACAATTATCTCTAATTCATTTCGCCACATCTTATCTGCAAACAAAATCTTAATTACATACATGTACTTCAACAATTTAACAATTAGTTTATGATTGCAGTAAAATATAGACTAAAGTACTCGAGGTCAAGAATGCAAAAAAATGAGAGAGAAAAAAGTCCCACTTTTAATGTGACACTTTGCAAGTTAATTGCTTAAATTCTTGCGCAACCGGAACTGAAGGTTTTCAGTGATAAGCCTTTGCCACTAGTGTTGAGCCAGGCCAAGCCTGTACTTCTGTGCAGTCAGTCATGGTTCAACACTGTTATGGGTGTGTTACTTAAAAGAAATCACCTTAATATCCATTGATCAGTTCATGGACTGTCCTAAAATGGAAGCTTATATAAGAAACACAGCAGGCTATGTGTTAAATATTGTTTAGACAGTACATACAGCATAGTTCGATCCCTACCTTAGTCAGAATGAATGTGTTCATAGTCAGAACGAAATGAATAGTGTTATTTGCTGTACTATTATGTCAATTTTAAAATGTTAAGTATTTACATAACTGACTTTGTATCTTCAATAACTGAAAACAAAGCGTTTTTTTTTTGGTTAAAGTTACTCTCAAATTTAAAGTGTACATTCTATATTTTTGTGTGTGAAGTAAACGTCTTTATCTTTCAAAGGTAATGACTAAATGGTACATTATATGTATAAAATAAACGTGTTCGCACCTTTAAAGAAAATGTTTTTATTTTTAAAGGTATTTACCTACAAGTATTGCATTTATTTTTAAAGGTGCTCATCTAAAAGTATTGCATATATTTTAGAGGTTCTCGTCTATAAGAATTGCATTTATTTTTCTTAAAGGTGCTCGCCCATATGTATTGTATTTATTTTTAAAGATACTCGCCTTTAAGTATTGCATTTATTTTTAAAGGTACTTTCCTATAAGTATTGCATTTATTTTTAAAGGTGCTCACCCATATGTATTGCATTTATTTTAAAGGGTTTCGCCTCACCTATAAGTATTGCATTTATTTTTAAAGGTACTCGCCTTTCAGCATTGTTTTATTTTTAAAGGTACTCGCCTTTAAGCATTGTTTTATTTTTAAAGGTACTCGCCAATAGGTATCATTTTTCTGGTATCTACGAAATTGATAGAGATGGAGAATCCTGGCACCATATTTATACAGCTTGGTTACTACATGTTGACGGTGCTGGCGGGCCTCGCAGCACATGGTCTTATTGTTTTACCGGTGGTCTATCTCATTGCGACGCGGAAGAATCCACTCATATTCATGTACAACATGTTGAAGGCCTTACTCACAGCTTGGGGAACGGCATCCAGGTAATACAACCTTAAACCACTATGATTTAATGTAATGAACTTGTCCTTCTTCGAATTAAGAGAAATGTCTTCTGATAGGTTATTTCGCCTGCTTACGGCGATCAAAAATCGTCAGTAGCGACTGCCAATGGTCTGTATTGATTGCAATCCTGTCAGTGCTTATTTTGAAATTTCCCCCTAAAAATGAGGAATGGTTTAGTCCAGATTAAAAGTTGGACAAGTCCATTTATTATATTCAGGGTTGTAAATGTTTTTTTAATTTTAACAAAGCTATACTTCGAGTAAGAACTTCACAGACTGGAGTCTGTCCCGATAGCATGTCCATGTAGATTGACATTGCTCTATGGCGGGGTTTTTAGACCTGCACTTAATGCCATCGCCTCTAGTTTTAAAAGTTATATAAGTTTTGATTCCATTCCACCCATCATGACGTTGTGAATGCTTATACACTTAATTAATGTTAAAACCACATATTTGTATTTGGCTTTTTTTCCCGAACATTTATTATTTATTTCATAATCTTGATAGCAGATTTATTTAAATTATGTTCTTTAATGCAAATATAAGCGAGCTAAAGTATGTAATGGAGGGGTTTTCAACTGCATGCCTGGGCGATTAATTCATTAAAATTGTGAGCCTACTTATTTTGTATATTTTCTGACGTTGGCCATGGTTGTATGGTTATAAATTAGTTCCATTCATTGGTGTTTACATACATCGTTTATATATTTTATAAATGATTTTCATTTAAACTAAATTTCATACCTAAAATTCACAGGGCTTCATGTGAATTGCCATATATTTGCCCCAACTTACGAGAATAAAGAACAAGCCGCGTTCTAATCTAACTGGTATAAATTGCATAAGTCAACCAAATATCAAAATATGATTATAAATTTAATACAAAAACAGGAATTCCCAAATTTTACATTTTGCACACCTTGATTGAACCAGATATTAACGTGTCCGTGGCTTAATTATAATTTCATTAAATAAGATCGTTTGAATTACCTCCTTTTCAGTTAGCATCTTATTTAGACAGTACCAACTAACATTTTTTTCACTCTTTATCTTGTATTTATATTTGTTTTCATTACCCTAGCCCCCGTAAATACACCATATTGGCAAGCATTACACTGTAAATATATATTACACCAAGTTCTTTATCAACTTACAGCTCTGCAACACTTCCGGTTACAATGGAATGTCTTGAGCACAGAAATAACATTGACATCCGGGTAGCAAAGTTTGTAGCACCAATTGGCGCCACAATAAATATGGACGGCACAGCTCTATACGAGGCTGTAGCTGCCATCTTTATTGCTCAAGTGAACGGGGTCGGTCTGAGTATTGGAGAGGTCATCACCGTTAGGTAAGATATAAAGATTTTTCTTTAAAAAAAAACAAAAACAAACAAAAACAAAACAAAAAACAGAAATTATTTTCATTGAATGGTAAGAAACAAACATTTCATGAATGGCGGTAGCCACCAGTGAAATATGATGATTTTCATACAACAAGATGACAATAAATCCTGTATAAATAGAAAAAAAACTTGTTATTTTATACATTTTTCTAATTTTTTTTACATTACAATTTCAAAGACTTCCTCTTAAAGATTGTTTATTGGTTGAATTTAGCAAAAAGTGCATGTAGTCTGGCAAGACACCAGTGAAAATACGGAAATATGTTTCACTGTAGTGAAAATGAAAACACGCATTTTATTTTATCAATATTTCTCAATATAAAGTAGTATATTATAAATTGTCTTCCTCGCCGCACAAGTAATTAAGAAATACTTAAACATTATGTCGTTTGTGTTAAGTTAAGACATGTTGAATTTTGGCGTTTCACAATAAGCTCATTAATAAAAACATCGCTCTTTAAATTTTCTCTGTAATTGGCATTCGATATATGGAATGAAATATTAGTAAAGCTTCATTTATAAATTTATTGCACAACCTGAGTAAAATAATACAATAAATGAGTTCGCTAAAATGAAAAAGAAGGCCGTTTAGTCAACGAACTATTACTGATTATTTCATGAAAATATGAAAATGCCACATACTTGTAAAGGGGAATCAAAACTAACTTTTGCCAAACTACATAACAACGTGAGTTATCTCCCTGTCAACTTGTTTCAGTTTGACAGCAACAGCAGCAGCCATTGGTGCCGCCGGCATACCGTCAGCTGGACTTGTTACAATGACTATAGTGTTGACGGCTGTCGGCTTACCGACGGAAGATGTGTCCTTGATCCTTGCAATAGACTGGTTCTTGTGAGTATTCGTTAAAAATTAACAAATACATGTATTAAAAACATGGCTGGTTCCAGTTTCAGCTTATTAAAATTCTCTAGGCCCTATGGTAAAACAATGTTCTCATGTCAAAATATGACTGGCTTTTGTAGTATATTTATAAGTATCAAAATGTAAACGAAACGAAATGTCAGAACATAGACGAAACGAAAAACAAAATATTAGAATTGAAACAAAACGAAATAATTAATAATAGTTAATATCTGGATATAAACGAAACGAAAAACTGAAATAGCATAATTTAAACGAAACTAAATACAAAATATAAGAATACTTTGCATTGTACTATAATAACAATACGACTGCTTCCTGTACGTAGGTGATGTTATGCATTATACAATTAAATAGAAAATGACTGATTACTTGTGTTTCCATTTTTTTAGGGATCGCTTCAGAACAGCTATCAATGTACTCGGAGATTCTTTTGGTGCTGGAATAGTTGATCACTTGTCAAAGGCAGATCTTAGTGAGATTGACCATTTAAATGAATTAGAAATGGCAGAAGAGACGACAAAAGCCGAGGAGGCGGGAATCACGAACACAGCGTTTGTCAATGGCGGAATGAAAGAAACGGAAAATGGCGAAATTGGTTCACGTTTATAAGACACTTACATAACTCACAGTACTAATGGCATAATTTTTCTTGATAATATCAACATTTAGATCTGAAATCAGAATGAATGCTTTTCATTTCATTAACCCTGCATTTTCGCAATAGCAGACTGTGCAAAGTCAGACTTGTTCACACCGAGATGACAGACTTTCGGTAAAGATTGTGGCAAAGCTTTAATTGTAATTAAAGCCTTGATTGTACAAAGCAAATACAAGCTCCCTTTTTTAAAGATAAAACTTACCATTTTTCACGAGAGTTTCTTGTTTATAGAAAAATATTTTCCGACGAAATCCGCAATGTTTTCCAGAAACTCCGTGACAGTTATCATAAGAACTCCTGAAAAGTTATCATAAGAACTCCATTCTTCGTGTAACAGTACCTCCCAGTGATTGTGGTATTTATGAAGGAATTAAAGGCAATCTTATGCATAGGAAGGTATTTCAAAGGGATGAGGACAGACTTGTTTCATACATTTCCGAATGGATTGGAGACAAAATAAGGATGTAGCCTACATGTAAATTACATGTAGCTTTTATTACTTCTTACTCTGTTATCTGTGCATCATAAAGAAAAACATTTTTTTTGTAAAAATAGACGTTACCTATTTTGTATATGTTTATATTAATGTGTAATTAGTGTAAGTTACCTGTAACACATTAAAAGCTTTCTTGTTAGATATGTTATTATTTTTACCTACCCGGTTATAACGATTTCAAAATATTTGGTGTAAAATCCTATTTAGGTTTGGTTGTCTTTCAAATCAACAAATTTGTGTATCTGCGTGGGAAAATTGTCGAAGTTAAAACTCATTAAAGGCTCATTACGCCTCAGGAATATTTTTTTATGCTCCCCGAAAAATTTCGGGGGAGCATATAGTCGTCGGGTTGTCCGTCCGTCCGTCCGTCCGTACGTACGTACGTCCTGAATTCGTGTCCGGCCCATAACTTTGTTATTTGAAGTCGGATTTTAAAACTATTTCACAGAAATGATCACCATATTGAGACGACGTGTCGCGCGCAACATTTGGCTCGCTACCTTGAATGTCAAGGTCACAGCATGACCTTGCAGCAAAATCGTGTCCGGTCCATAACTTCATTATTTGAAGTCGGATTTTAAAAATATTTCACAGAAATGATCACCGTATTAAGACGACGTGTTGCGCGCAACATTTGGGTCGCTACCTTGAAGGTCAAGGTCACAGCATGACCTTGCAGCAAAATCGTGTCCGGTCATAACTTTGTTATTTGAAGTCGGATTTTAAAACTTTTTCACAGAAATGATCATCATATTGAGACGACGTGTCGCGCGCAACGTTTGGCTCGATACCTTGAAGGTCAAGGTCACAGCATGACCTTGCAGCAAATCGTGTCCGGTCCATAACTTCGTTAGTTTCGCTACCTTGAAGGTCAAGGTCACAGCATGACCTTGCAGCAAATCGTGTCCGGTCCATAACTTCGTTATTTGAATCGGATTTTAAAAATATTTCACAGAAATGATCACCATATTAAGACGACGTGTCGCGCGCAACATTTGGGTCGCTTCCTTGAAGGTCAAGGTCACAGCATGACCTTGCAGCAAAATCGTGTCCGGCCCATAACTTCGTTATTTGAAGTCGGATTTTAAAAATATTTCACAGAAATAATCATCATATTGAGATGACGTGTCATGTACAACATTATGGTCGCTTCCTTGAAGGTCAAGGTCACAGCATGACCTTGCAGCAAAATCGTGTCCGGTCCATAACTTCGTTATTTGAAGTCAGCTTTTAAAACTATTTCACAGAAATGATCACCATATTGAGATGACGTGTCACAAGCAACATTTGGGTTGCTACCTTGAAGGTCAAGGTCACAGCATAATCTTGCAGCAAAATCGTGTCCGGCACATAACTTCATTATTTGAAGTCGGATTTTACAACTATTTCACAGAAATGATCACCATAATGAGACAATGTGTCGCGCGCAACATTTGGGTCGCTACCTTGAAGGTCAAGGTCACGGCATAACATTGCAGCAAAATAGTGTCCGGCCCATAACTTTGTTACTTAAAGTCGGATTTAACAACTATTTCACAGAGATGATCACCATATTAAATCGACGTGTTGCATGCAGATTTGGGTTGCTACCTTGAAGGTCAAGGTCACAGCATGACCTTGCAGCAAAATCATGTCCGGCCCATAACTTCGTTATTTGAAGTTGGATTTTACAACTATTTCACTAAAATGATCACCATATTGAGACAATGTGTCGTGCACAACATTTGGGTTATTTTTACACTTTGAACTTTGTCTGTGACATAACTCTGACACTACAAGAGGTATACCTTCCTGTGTCCAAAACCTATTCGGGGAGCATCATCCGGTTGAACCGGCTCTTGTTTTATTTTTTTTTAAAAGCTTTTTAATTTTGAAGTTCTTTTATACTATCAAAAAGTTACTCGTTGGCGAATTACCTGATCCATCTTTTCCATCTGTTGCTTTTTGGCAATTACATGTAGTTTAGTTAAAGCGAATTGTATGGAAGTAAAAATACAACGCTGTTTACATTTTGCAACTTTTATGACAAATTACATGATTTTTTATGCTCCCCGAAAAATTTCGGGGGAGCATATAGTCGCCGCCTTGTCCGTCCGTCCGGCATTCCGTCCGTCCGTCCCTTTTTCTTGTCCGGGACATAACTTTGAAACAACAAGAGGTATCAACATAAAACTTTGTAGGTAGATAGATCTCATTGAGTAGGTGTGCAGTGCACAAGAACCATAACTCTGCATTGCCTAATTTTTGAATTATCCCCCTTTGTTTATTTTTACACTTTGAACTTTGTCCGGGACATAACTCTAAAAGTATAAGAGGTATTAACATGAAACTTTGTAGGTAGATAGATCTCATTGAGTAGGTGTGCAGTGCACAAGAACCGTAACTCTGCCTTGTTTAATTTTTGAATTATCTCCCTTTGTTTATTTTACACTTTGAACTTTGTCCGGGACATAACTCTAAAACTATAAGAGGTATCAACATGAAACTTTGTAGGTAGATAGATCTCATTGAGTAGGTGTGCAGTGAACAAGAACCTTAACTATGCCTTGTCTAATTTTTGAATTATCCCCCTTTGTTTATTTTTACACTTTGAACTTTGTCGGGGACATAACTCTAAATGTATAAGAGATATCAACATGAAACTTTGCAGGTAGATAGATCTTATTGAGTAAGTTTGCAGTGCACAAGAACTTTAACACTATCTTGCCTACTTTTGGAGTTATTGCCCTTTGTTCATTTTGACACTTTGAACTTTGTTCCGGGACATTACTCTAAAATTATAAGAGATATCAACATGAAACTTTGTAGATAGATAGGTCTCATTGGGTGGAAGTGCAGTGCTTAAGAATCATTGCTCTGCCTTGCCTTATTTTGAAGTAATTGCCCTTTGTTTATTTTTACTTTTTGACTTTTGTCCGGGACATACCTTTAAAACTATTAGAGATATCAACATGAGACTTTGTAGGTAGCTAGATGTAATTGGATAGAACTGCAATGCTTAAAGAACCTAAACAAAGCCTGGTCTAATTTTGGAGTTATTGCCCTTTGTTCATTTTTACACTTTGAATTTTACCCGGGACATAACTCTGATATCATCAGGAAACTTTATAGATAGATAGATCTCATTGAATAGAAGTGCAGTGCAAAAAAAACATAACTCCGCTTTGCCTCATTTTTTTTTATACTTTCCTGTGTCCAGAACCTTCTCGGGGAGCATCACCCGGTTCAACCGGTTCTTGTTTACATTTATTGCTACTCTCTTTAGGTAACAAGCATCTAACTATCTCTAAAACTATATATTTAAACATTATAACATAAATTCATGTTTGCCCTTTCGAAAGAAGTAAATATTTTTTGTTTGTTTCTACGTCATAATGTGCCTTTAAGCCTAAAAATGCTATATTTTCTGTTGTTGGTGTCTTTTTACAGTTTCTTAAACAGAACTTATTTTCAATATAACTGAGCCATCTTTTGCACCTGTATCATTCTGACATTAGTATAGTTCAATCATTTTAGTATTTAATATGATTCGTCAGTTCATAATGAAATAAGACAAAATAATTTCACTAACAGAGCTTCTTTTTCCAGGAAGCATCTTACTTGCTCTTAATCTTGTATTACCACACTATGAAACACATGCGTGCCTTTTTACAAAGAAAACTATATATGTGCAATGTATTTGTTTTTGAGGCATTCTGTGTCTTTAAAATAAAATCGTGATGATTGAAAACAAAACAAAAACAACAAACAGAACATGCAGGAAAAATAAAGTTGAAACATTTTTGTGTCAGGTCAAATGTAAAAAGTTTTCTGCTATTTATTTTCACTTTCGAGTCTGATCAATGGACTGAATTTACCTAAGGAAACAGAGCTGAGTCCAAACCAACAATCTGAGATGAGTGACAATTACCCTAGCCACGCAACAAGTCTAATAGAGCGTTTTCCATTTATTAATAAGAATCGTTACAGCAACAACAACAACAAATGGGAGAACAGCCAGATGAAGTATTAGGCGATGTTTTACGGCTGCAACACTCAAACATCCACGATTATCACTACTTTGAAAGTTCTGAAAAAGGAATATATTTTAACGCTAAAATCCGTTAAAAAAGTTTAGTACCGTCTTTATTTATAACTGACAGCCAATCTTAGTTGGCGATAGTATGTCCATGTTTACATTTATTCATTAAGTTTCAAATTAATAATAATGTCTAATATTAAATTTTATCAACTCAATTCATTTAACATAAAGAAACAAACTTTTTGAAGAAAGTTTCATAATATATCAAGGTAGGATAAACGTGTGTATATCTATAAATCTTAACGAACAGGGTGTCTTTCCTGTCTTGATTAATTTCAATCCAGTGCCGTAGAAGAAGATAAAACTACCCATTTAAATATATCTAGGCGTTATCTCTTGATATAAACGGCATTTTTATCATATTAATACTGTATTTTTCATTCCATTCAGATCAGAATTTGCAACAGGACCATTTTCATTGCAACCTAGTTTCAAGTTTGAACACTTAAGTACACATAGATGTTAAATTGTTTGTTTGTTTGTTAGCTATATTAACGTCAATGATACAATTATCGACTAGGATGGTTTATAAAAATCGGCCATGAGAAGCTAGCAGGTGTTATTATTCATATGCTTTGTGGTTATGACTATCTTTGCTTTATATTTGCTGAAATTTGGATATACTTTGCAATTTGGTCAGCCAACAGTATACACAGCCTATCAGGCTGCACGGACATGTAGGCTGGCCTGGCCTGGCTCTTTACTGGTGACAATGACATCAATGCTTTGATTTTAGCACTGTACTAAAAATGGCAAAATGATAGCGTGAGGTTGCTGCATGATTCCAAACATGAGATATTTGCATATACATTCAGCAGCTGTAGTTAAAATATCAATTTGACAAGCACATTAACATAGCATCTTGATATATAACCTCAAAGGTAATTATAAACTGTTCCAAACAATAATATAACGTTCATATCCGAGTGACTTACGAGACAGTATACATGTAAAACAGCAATGTATAGGACAACCACTATAAGAACAAAGAGTTGTCCCTTTGGTTATATTCATTGTGATACAATCTTTGTAAAAGAAGGTTTCTTTTTCACAACATG